CCAAAATAAAAAATATAGGATTGTAGGGTTTTCCAAGCCCTACAACCCCATTATTTTTTATTGTTTTACATTTTTGTAGGGAAAAAAAAACATTAAAAATAAGGCCGTGGCTGCGATCGACTTTTTTGGCCGCGAAGACCGAATTGCTCACATAGCCTACGTCTAGTCGAAACGACTGCTTCAAATCCTGTTGTTTTGGCTATACATATGCAATCCGGTATGCTTGCACCAGAATGTGATGATCCACCTGCGGAAATCCCATCAAAGATCCGCAGCCTTCTCAACCGATTTCCTGAAGTTTTGGCCGAACCGCATGGGGTCCCCGTGCGTCCGGTCCGACACAAGCKCKAGTTGATAGAAGGCAACAGGCGAATTGGAGGAGTTGTCTAGGCAGATCGATGACATGCTTAAAAAAGGATGGATCAAGCCAAACGAATCCAAATTYGGTGCACCAGTTTCGTTTATTCCTAAGAAGGGAGRCAAATTATGGATKTGTATCGATTACCGCTGACTGAACATAATAACCAGAAAGAATGWGTACCCTTTGCCATGCATTGACGATCTACTTGATGCTRTGGGTGGATGCAAGGTTTYTMGCAARATAGATCTCAAGTTTGGTTACCACAAGATTGAAGTCGACCCTGCARACSAGCATAAAATTGCATTCRAAACTYYCGATGGGCTGTACGGTTATGCCCTTCGGCCTCACGAATGCACCGGCCACCTTCCAAAGTCTCATGGACAAGGTGTTYCGCAATCCGATCAATCGATTTGTTGTTGTTWATTTGAATGACATACTAATCTTTAGCAAGTCGATGGAGGAGTACATGAGACACCTTGAGGAAGTGTTGCAGATCCTCAAGGWTGCGCAACTCCATCTCAACTTAGAGAAATCTGAGTTTGGGAGGGACAGYGTCATCTACCTTGGACATCGGTTSTCTGTTGCAGGCCTAGAGCTTGAGGCAACCWAAGTTGAGGTCTTCCGCAACTGGGCTCAACAGGCAAATGTCCGTGAGTTGCGTTCTTTTCTTGGTTTTGCGTCGTATTATCGTAAGTTTGTACCCAAATTCTCTATCATCGCCCGTCCACTGTCTTACACGTGGGATGGGGAATGCACAATAGCCTTCCAAGCCTTGAAGGAGACTTTGTTGAGTCATCCGGTGCTCCGCATTGCAGATTCCAAACTTACATTCGTAGTAACTACGGATGCAAGTTTGTATGAGATTGGTGCAGTGCGGCAACAAGATGATGGTGACGGCTTACGTCCGCTCGAGTATTACAGCAAACACATGYCCAATCACAAGGTAGCTGCCTCCACTTACATGAGGGAACTCTATGCCTTGAGARAGGCACTAGATCATTGGGAGTACTACCTCTTGGGCCGCCATTTCAAAGTGTTCTCAGACCACGAGACATTGAAATGGATCCAAACATAGATTAATCCATCAACTACATTGACCCGCTGGATGCATGAGATCACTGTGTATGATTTTGAAAGAGCACAAAAAAGATTGTTACAATCACGTTGCGGATGCTTTGTCTCGTCATCCTGAGTATATGACTTGCCTTGTGGGTTTCTACGATCTCCGTAAGAATTTGAAGGAGGAACTCATTGAGCACACTGTCGAGGACCCGGAACTCAGTCCCATCCTTGAGCAGATTCAAGCTGACCCTAACAGTCAACCTGATTTTCACTAGTGTAAAGGTTTACTTTTTCGACGTTATGGGAAGTACGACCGACTGTGTGTACCTAACCATGAGCCTATCYGTAYTCACTTCTTGAACTTGGTTCATGGTCGGAGTGGACACTTTGGTTTTGAAAAGACATACGAAAGTCTATTGCAGAAGTTTGTATGAYCTGGGATGAAAGAAATGRCACACAAGTTTGTGGATGAGTGTGAAGTTTGTCAATGCATCAAACCGTTTCGACAAAAGCCCTATGGGCTGCTGCATCCTTTCTATTCCTGATGGCCTGGGTGAGTCTCTTTCCATCGACTTCACGGACATGGGAAAGAAGAGCAGGAATGGATATTCACAAGTAATGGTGATCGTTGATCGCTTTKCAGAAWTTTTGAATTTGATCCCATTACCAYCTCACGCTCCAACTGACCTTGTGATCAAGGAGTTTCACAAAAAGTACATTCTGCGRTATGGGCCCCCGAAAATTCTTGTGAGTRATCGGGACACTAGGTTCACAAGTGCAGATTGGAAGGATTTCACCTCCCAGATCTATGACATCAAACTCAAGATGACGTTTKGTTGAYATCTCGAAGCCAATGGACTGGCCGAAGAGATCAACCAGACTGTGATCTAACTTMTCCGAGCTCTAATTRTGCCTGATCAGAACTCTTGGGATGAGGAATTGTCGATTGTACAGGGATTGTACAACAATTCCATACACTCCTYCACCGGGATGACGCCTAATTGGCTGCACCTCGGGTGGCAGATTCKTAATCCCCYATCCTACCTGTTTCCTGATCCGCMACTTGACCTAACACCTCGCCAGCCTGGYTACAGCGCAAAGTTTGATCRCTTGCTCAAAGTTGTTGTTGCARCTATGGAAAGGCGACGCAGTGCCATGATTAAGCATGCTAACAAAAAACGTCAACCTAAACCTTTCACAGTGGGAAGCTATGTCTGGGTCAAAATGTCTGAGTTTTTTTKAAGGAGGTGTATCACGAAAGCTTCTTCCTCAATATTATGGTCCGTGTCGACGTGCCTGCTCGTACCCAGTCTTTCACGTGTCGAAATTATTTTCGTATGAACACCCCAAACCTTTTCCGTATTTCGAATCAATGATTCCCCTCGCAATCAATGGCGGTCACGAGATTGATAGAATTGTCGAGCACAGTGGAAAAGGGAGAAGCAGACAATACGAAGTCCATTTTCTATATCATCCATTGAATGACTTTTACTAGATTGCTAAGAAAGATTTTTTGCAGAGTGCCCCTCGAGTCGTCAACGCATATGAACGACTGATTAGCTACGAACAACAATCTAAATTCACTGCTATTCTCACTCCTATGAAACATACCTGATTACGCTTATGATGCATCATGTCGGGACTGTGATCGAGTTACTCGCTCGAAGGGACCAAGCTCTTGAGTGGGGGGTAGTGTAATGACCCGCCATAACACAGACTGAGAACACTGCTGATTTTTTAAGTTTTGCCGATGGAATGGATGCCTTGCTGAGATTCCCGCATTCTGCTGAGTTTGCTAAGTCTGTATGTGTGCGTGCTTGTTGACCTGCGTGTCTGTCTGAGTGCTTGTCCGCATGAGTGTGCGTGTGACCCGCAAGGGTACTTGCTTGTTTGGCAGGCCTGTAGGGCCGGTACTTGCCTATGGCCGTGGCATGGAGGGTTGCAGCAAGGGAAAACACTCAGGTGGCGGAGCTAGAGGTCCGCGTCACTTAGAGCAACGGAAAAACACTCAAGTAGCTGGTAGGCCGGTACCGCACCCAGTAGCAGTAGATGTGTCGGGTACTCGTTTCCTAGCAGAAGAAGACAAACTTGGCATTTTCAGAGGCCCAGTAGCAGGAGGCTAGTTCTAGGACTATACCAGTCCATCCAATTTGATTCTAGAGCCTGTACGGGCAATATCAGAGTCTGCAATTATATTTCCCTCCGAAAGGGAGGAGGTACCGGTTGCYTGGGAGGCTGAGCGGCTTCGAAGTCACCGCCCAGGAGACAAGCAGACCGCTATATAAAGAGGTGGAGGGAAGAGCCCGACCTCATTCTTCAGTGTGCAAGTTTGGCGACACGCTGCTGGAGCGCTGGCTGCAGGAGCGTTGGGTACTACAGCGCTGCTGGGAGGAAGAAGCCGGGAGCTTCCACCTTAGCTATGGTGGAGCTCTATCGGTAGGAGGAGGGAGAAGGGGACCAAGGAGGAGAGTGGCGAGGTACCTACCTGGCTATGGTGGACACCATCTTCATCACCTTGATAGGCGCTGCATCTGGAAGGCCCCAGTTGGGGTGGTGCTGCCCCAAGGAAGCTCGGGACAGAGACAAACATGGCGGCCTAATGAGCAGCAACATAGCTGCTTTGTGTTGTCCTTCGCACAGGAGGGCAGCGACATAGCTGCTTTGGGTTGAGTAGTTTGCCATAGCCTCGGCCTACGTGTGAGAAGAAGGAGAAGGGTGGCCATGGCTATGGTGGACCTCATGTTGTGCCTGTAGTAGAAGAGGGATTTTGACATTGATTCTGGTTCAGTCATTCAACATTATTATTGTTATTTCTTGTTTGAATGAGAGGGGAGGAGATAAGGAGGAGGAGATTGGTTGGCGAAGAAGAAGAGCATTATCTTTGGTCTATGCTGGAGTACATCATCTTCTACTTCTTTCTTACTTCTTCTTCTTCTTTCCCTCTCTCTCCTCTTAAGTTCACTCGTTTCTTTTTGCAATTGGATGACATTGTACTTTCTGATGAATGTATACTTCGAAATTGACCAGGATCGTAACACTAACAAAGAAATGGGGAGGCTGGGGAGGCCAGGTTATTGAAATTAGATCGCATACAAATGATCGGTTTTACCTCTGCTGTGGACTGAGGTTATGTCCACAATGAGCCATTCTCACAAAATGCACCTGACGGTGAGGGCGAAGACATGTTTAGAATAGTCGTAATGTGAAGATGTGTGCAGTCATTGTGTACAACACCTAGATGACGTAAATATTGTGTACAACATCTAGATGACGTAAATATTTATGCAATTAGCCACAATTGTAATACTATTGCATTTATGTTGGCGATAGTGTCATGATCCTGGCCAATTTGGAGATACACATTCATCAGATAGTACAATGTCATCCACTTGCAAAAAGAAATGAACTTGAGAGGAGAGGGAGGGGTAAAAGAAGAAGTAGAAAGAAAGAAGAAGATGGTGTACACCACCATAGACCAATGAGAATGCTCTTCTTCGCCAATCACTCTGCTCCTCCTTATCTCCTCCTCTCTTATTCACACAAGAAATAATAATACAATGTTGAATGGCTGAACCAGAATCAATGTTCGAATCCCACTTCTACTACATGTATCTTAGGTCCGCCATAGCTATGGCCGCCCCCCTCACTCTTCGCTCGCATAGGCCTAGGCTATGGTGGACTACTCGGGCCTTGCCCTGATGTCCGAAGGACAACACAAAGCAGCTATGGCTGCTCTAGCTCAGGCCGCCATGCCTAGCTCTGCTTCAAAGCTTCTTGGTGTAGCTCTACCCCAGTTGGGGTCTTCCTGCTGCATCACCACCAAGGTGATGAAGATGGCTGCCACCATAGCCAGGTAAGTACCTTTGGCGCTCCTCCCCAGTCTTGTCCTTCTTCATCCTTCGTGTCCTTGCTCCTTCCCCAACAACGTTGATCCAAGCTAGCGCTGCTCCAGCCTGCACTCCAACCAGTGTGTCGCCAAACTTGCACACCGACAATGAGGCTAGGCTCTTCGCCCGACCGGGAGATATAGCAGCCTGCTTGCCTCTTGGGCGGTGACTTCTAGGCCACTCAGCCTTCCAAGCAACCGGTGCCTCCTCCCTTTTGGAGGGAAACATCATTGCAGACTCTGATATTGCCCGTATAGGCCCTAGACTCAGACTGGTTGGACTGGTACCCGCCTAGACGCAGCCTACAAATACTGGGCCTCTAAAAATGCCAACTTTGTCTTCTTCTGGTCGGCCTCAAGTACCCGGCACAGCTACCTTTTCAGGGTGTGGTACCGACCTACCTGCTACTCGAGTGTTTCTCCGCTGCTTCAAGTGTTGCAGGCCTCTTCCCCCGCTACTCAATCCTCAATGTCACGGCCACAGGTAAGTATCGGCCCTGCGGGTCCAATAAATGAACAAGTGCCCTTGCGGGTCACACACACACTCAAGCCAACAAGCCCGCAGACGGACATGCAGACCAGCAAGTGTGCACACACACAGACTTAGAGCCCAATAAACGAACAAGTGCCCTAGCGGGTCACACACACACTCAAGCCAACAAGCACGCAGACGGACATGCAAACCAGCAAGCGTGCACACAC